CCTAACACCCTATTAATTTACAGCCACTTGCCTTCTAGTGAGCTGAATCCTATTACCAAGAACCCGAGCATGATGTGGCTGTTTGTGAATTACCTGTCAAGAAGGTTATGCAAGTGAGTTGTGACTGGGCCAATCCAAGAACAGGTATGCTAAATGAAACATTTAGCAGCACTGGAGGAGAGGGAGTGCAGAGAAACAGCAAATGCTTTATCAGGCATTTGGAAAAGTAATAATAATTAGCTGGATTCAATTTATTTTGCAATTGCCTATTTCTGCAAGCACCACTATACGTTATTGCTGTAATGGATGCATGTCTTCAGCAGCGGATTTAGCTAGTATTGTTGGCACCACTTTACTAAAACTGTCTTCAGACTAGACCAAAATTGTTAAGTAAATGAGATTTTGTCACATCTCATTTTGCAGGTGTCATGGAAGTCAAATTTCACTCCACATGTCAAGCTCAAATGGTAATTGCCTGTTTTTTTGTGGTTTTTTTTTTTCTTTTTTGAGGAAGTTTTTTTGTGTGAAAGACAACAACATTTTGACACCTTTATAATAGGCAGTCTGTCAGACTGAGAAATTGAATTTGGGCCAGTATATTTGCCCGCTAGACATATGGCCACATTTCCTGTCCGTAATAAATTATGAATGCTATAAAAATGTTTTATTTATTCTTTTATTTACTTACTTATTTAATTTTTATAGCATCCATTCAGGGAAAAGGCACTGCCCCAAGTAGTTTACAGCAGAACTGAAATCCCAATCCCATTCCAATCAGCAAACAATAAAATTAAACTTGGATACTGACAACAAAAATAAAGACAGTAGCAATGCAGTCGTATGGCGACAACTGAAGCAGATAATACAAATGAGGGTCAACAGAAAAACTACCACAGGGGAAGAATATTACTAAAGGCTTCTTGAAAGAGCTCTGCCTTGACTAATTTGTAAAATAGCCTGATAACTGATACTGGCCATAATCGCACTGCTGTTGGCCAGCGTAATGTTATACAGAGAAGTGTGTACCTGCTTCATTTTGTTGGACAGCTCCCCGTTAATCTAGATTTTCTGATCTCCCAGGATAGCTCCTGGTCAAGGTAGCACCTGGAGCCACAGAACAGGGTTTGGAGAAATTGGAGAGGTCAGTTTTTTTCAGTTCCTTAGTCAGAGACGAAGGCAAAGAACAGAGTACACTTTAAACCATTGATGGTAAACTATGACTCCATAGAAGTCTATATCAGATCTTAACTGTCATATAGTCCATTGTGAGGACTGGGAACTGAAATTCAACAACATGTGGAGTGCCTGAGTTGATCACTCCTCATCTAAACAGTCTAGAGGCCTGTCAACCTCATTCAGGCTCTGGCTCCTTGCCAAGGAGTGAGATACTCAGCGGGGTAACCTCTTCTGGGTGGTTTAGACATCTGCCTTACTGGAGAGACCAAGGATCTGCCTATGGGTGAGGAACCAAGATGCTCAGGAGAGTTGGAGAATATAGCAAGGTTCATGTTGCATCCATGGCAGGTAGGCCCCAAATGATCAGTTGTGTAACTGCCTCTGCTACCTAACAAGGATCATCATCCATGCATCAGCTTTGTTTTCTTTGACTTCTTTCTTCTTCCAAACAAGGTAAACATGGGAAAATACAAAATTAGAATATATATTAGAATATATATATAGTTTGTTTGTTTGTTTGTTTTTTATTTATTTATTTATTTATTTATTTATTTATTTATTTATATATATCCCACCTATCTGGTCAGTTATGACCACTCTATGCAGCTTATAAAATACATATAAAATACACAGATAGATATAAAATTATTACGTAATGAACAAAGAACAAATTCAACAAGTGAAGTTGGTTCTGGCCTACAGCAACCCTTATAGGGTTTTTTTTTTTTTAAGGTATGTAAGGGTTTTACTATTGCTGCTCTTCTATGAATTTGAAGTATGGATTTGAACACGAGTTCAAATCTTGCAGGAGAAAACAAAATAAAGAGTAAAAAAGGCAAATATGTGGTGGCACTTTAAAGACTAACTTTTATATTTTTTCATCTGAGCTTTTGTGGACAAGTCCACTTCATCAGACATGGCTACCTCTTCTATAAGAAGTCCAAGTCTGATACTTTTAGTGCTATGCCACTTAACTTTCAGGAAAACATATATGCTCCCAACATGCTTATGGTAAGAAAAATTAATATCAGAAAAATGTTTTTGAAATCTTTTGCTCACTGCTGTACATTTCAGTGTCAGCCTGTCAGTTTGGGTTTTGTGCAGGATGAAGAATCTGCTTTCTAAAAATTGCTGACTCTGCTTGGGTACATTGAACTTTAGTAAGAATTAAAGTTGTGAGAACTTGTTTAATGCCTTCTTGAAGTACAGAGTGCACACTTTACGGACTCTCTTGTAATGGTCAGTGTTTGAGCCAATTTGGGATAATTCTACTGTCTGTGTTGGTTAAGTGTGCTATTTCTGTGGGAAAAATCAGTTATTTTCTGTACAATCTTTCTCTTGAGCATTCTATAGCTGGATTGGAACACTGTGCATAGGCTTGTATAGTGACAAGTAGGGTGGCCACAAGAAAATAGTACATGGATCCTGACACTTCTATATTTGTCCGGAAGGGAGAATTGCAGCTGAGGTCACTTCACATGTATTACACCTGCTGAAGTTCCCTCTTCTGCTTAACTCTTAAAAGTATATGAAACCTATCCTCTTTTTCATGTGGCCACCCTAGTTTCAAGTTGCCTGCAAGACAAATTTTCTTTAGACTGCACAATGTAAGAAAAATAATATCCCTTGTCTACCTTAGAAAGATAACTAAGTTAAACACCCTACCCTCTGACATGATGAAATTCCCTCAGCCCCAATCTTCTGAGATACATCCCTCCATGTTGCTGTTTTTGCAGCAAAGACTAATGTGGGTACCCTCTGGAAAATTGCACACTGAAATGGTTGTGTGAACAGGTCCTGTCTTTATTATTTTACCCGTATACTCCTATCACATCCCAGATGGCAGCCTATAGTAGCAGCTGCAAGCCTTCTCTGCCTGACTTTCATAACTTTCCTAAAATGACTTTTATTATGTCCCTAACCTTTGCACATTCCAGGTCTGGTTTTGCTGATCAGTCTTTTTTGGGCTTTCATCTAAATGAACTTCCTTGTACAAACTGCTGCAGAGAATGTTGATGTTGTGTCCTTGCTCAAAAACAACAAGGACTGGAAACGAACCAATCTGGAAAGGTCAACTTGTCTTCTTAGAAATACACTGTTCGTGGTAGATATTATTTCCACTTGATCAGGTGTGTGTGGTATATAATTAGCAGAAGCACAACAGATAGGATTAGTTTGGCACAGTGCATTTTGAATGAAACATTTCTCTGCTATACAGGGAATACAACCATGTCTCTTTCAACAATGCCCCAAATCCTGTTCCTCAAGCATCTACAGTATTATCTCCAGTGTCAAATTTAATCTGCCTTATCTTTGTCTCTTGACAGGCCATAATAATACACTAGTTGGTATTGGTATTATGTTTAGCACGAGAAAACAATGAGCATCCAGGCATGGTTTATAAACTTCCGGAATGTGTTTAGAGTTGTCTCTGTGCCTCTCTTTCTCAGAAGAAGAAAAAATTATTTTAGCTTCAGTTGTATTCTTGTGAAAGAATTACTGGCTGACGCCAATAGCAGATGCACGTTAAGCATTGCAGAGGGTCACTGCAGCTCAGGACACTGCCCTTGCATGGCTGTGATCACGTAGCTAACAGCAATCCAGTTTGCTATGTCCAATGGAGCCTGTTCATAGTACCCAGGGCTTTTCAGTCCCCAAAATGATGAAGACCGTTGCAAAAAGATAGTCGTAAAGCAGATTCTTCGTAATGTGGGGCAATCGTAAAGTGAGGCATCTCTGTATCCAATAACATTCTTTGTATTTTGTTGTACACCACCCCAGGGTAGCAATTTGTTAGATGGGCAATATAAAAATTAAATAAACAAATAAGCAAATAAATAAGTGTGGCTGAAGAGGAGAGGTTCGTAGTTACTTGTAGTCTCTGCACACAAGACAGAACTCTGGAAAATATGTGTTCTTCCTCACAAGTGAAGCCTACATGTAATTAAAATTTTATTTATTTATTTATTTCATTTAAAACATTTTTATCCCGCCTTTCTCCTTAAAAAGGACCCAAGGTGGCTTACGCCCCTGAAAGACAATATTTAGAGCTAAGAACAGTGAACATAAAGAGGCAGCTTACACCATTAACAAACAATATTAAAGCAAAAACAAAAAGTATGCAAATACTAAAAAGGAACAAACAAATGCTACTCTGAGAGATGGTAAACACAAATAGGACTAAAGACCCAGTCAGAGCAGCCATGCATAACAATCCACCTAAAAGTTGTTCGTGTAGCCGGCCATGTGGCCAGCCAGTTATGTGGGCCGTCACTGAAGGGAAGCTTGGCTGAAAACGAGGTCTCCTCTTCAAACTCCTTGTTGAGCATGTGAAGAAAGCAAAGATGGATGGGAGTGCAACTAGCCATGGCCCTCTGAGTGCATCAGAGAAGAAGCAATCTTCTTTAATGGCTGAGTCAACTTGCTGGAACAAACAACGGAATGACAAACATTTGCTGCAAAGAAAACAAAGGCTGTGAAAAGAGACACTAGCATGTAAAAAAGACATGGTAGATTGTGTGAGCGAAAAAAGTGTGAGACCCCATAAGTAGGTGAAAACTTCATTTTAGTTCCTGTATGATAAGAATTCCCCAAATGAGCCAATTTCTTCACATTTGGTACAGGAAAAAAAACTTGAGTTGTTGAGAATAAATAAATAAATAATTCTGAAGTTGGAAGGAAGTAAAACTGCAAGATTTTTTCCCTTCCTTTTCTCCAGTTTCTGACTTTTCCAACTGATGAATGCAGATAACTTAAAATTGGCACCCACGGGAGAAGCAGGTGCAGTGCATTCCAAATATTGCTCTATTTAAAGCATCAGAAAGCCCAGCCATGCAGCAGCAGGCTCAAATATTAAATCAGTTCTATTTAGACACACAAGAGAGGAATGGCAAAAACAGGTATGATGATAAAAAGCCAAATGTTTTAGAAATGTGATTTATCCGTGAGTGGAATTAATGTTTAGCCTGGGGGTGCTGCCAATGCTCTGGTTTAACTTTGTCTTTTGTGTCTTTTATGTTTACCGTGCAGTAATTCCATCTATTAGAAATACAATATGCTTTCCTTTGGATTATTAAATTTTTTTTCTTGACTCAGGTTTTTTAATTTTAGAAGTATCCTCTGCAGCGGTGAGAGCTGTTTTTCTTCCAAGAAAGCTTCCTTTAAATTGGAACAGAAATTAACTAATCAAATTAAAAGTTACCATCACTAATAGGAACCTAATGAATGTTTTCTCAAATTGCACTTTGATTTAAAAGTATGTAACTTGCTGTGTATGCATTTAAAGTGAAGAAAATGAATGTAACTTCCTGCTGACTTATGTCAGTTCTGATTTCCTGTCCATGACAGCATTTAAGACTGCAGGTAGATTTCCTTCCTGGTTCCAACCGCAAACAAGGCTGAAAGCTACCATGTTTCATCTATGTGCCTATTTTCTTTCTTTATTAAAATATCTACATCCTACCTTGTATCTGAAGATCTCAGTGCAAGGAACCAAATGAAAACAATCTAAAACCACCTGAAGCAAAAGAAGAGAAGGCAACAAAATTAAAATGCAGTCAAATGCATTGCCATATGGTATACTATTATGTATACCTTACCTGCTCAAGTGGATATAAGCTTAAGAGTAATGTGAGGGATAAGCTTTCTTATGTATGGAAGCATGCTGGAGAATTATGGTGCTTTCACAATATTTTATTACAAACATAAAACTGGATCATAGTGAACCAGGTAGATGTATTACATGCAGGCAACTACTATCCCTTTATTAGATTTCCAAAATGCTTTACCTTGTGCAATATTGTAAATCAGTTTCTTTGCTGCCTCCCAGTTCCCTCGGTCTCCCAGTTTAAAGAAGTCCAACTCTTCCTTGCCTCTCCCTTTGTGAAATTTCCTTCCTAAAACTAGAGAGAGCTTTAAAGCCGTAGGAACATGTTCCCAATTATGAAGGAACAGAAACGTTCTTTTCTGTAAACATCAGATGACTATGGGAGGAAATTTTAATTAATCCGGTGATAGACCCGTCCATAGTAACAAAGACAGCAAAGTTTATAATGACATTTATTTTTAGTCTTTTTTTTTTTCAACAACAGTGAATGGTTCCAGGAGGACCTTGTAGGCACTACATCTGGTATTTCAACTATAAAGATAAGCAAGATACTTGTAAAATGTTTTTATAAGTACCTTACTTATCTTTTTAATGACCAAACAGCAGGGATACATTATCAAAATGTGATCTTTTTATTTGATAAAAATAGTTTCCTTCATATATTTCCCCCCCCCCATTAATATGTCATGAGGCATTTAATTACACTTTCTCCTTCTTTGCATCTTGATCAGCACCCTGCCCGCTGGCTCCTCTTTTTACCCAGTGACTTACAGCACCGAGGAGTGTTTTTCATACTCTTAATGTATGCCTGTAAGACTTGAGCATCTTTTCCCTGCTGTTAAACTGACAGTTGAAAATGATGGTAAATTGTTAAAAAGTTACATCCAAGAAATCTGAATGCATATATTATATGACAGCGAAACCTGAAAGAAAGAAAAAGTTCATTCTGGGTTACTTAAATCAGATTTATACAGTTTTCCATCTGCTTCAGAATCCTAAACACCACCAACAAAATGCAACTTCGATAAATTTGTGTCAGTACAAGCTTCTGTGAAGAAGTGAACAGTGTTTTTGTCATTTCAGATTAATGCTAATTCAGATTTATCTATTTTGAAAGATGAATTTTTTTTTGTATATACATCTCCCTCCAGTACAAATCCCTGCCAAACAGTAGACATAAACATACAGTGATATTTTGCTTTTCCTATTGTTCCTCCTCCTCACACTGCTTGGGAGCCATCACAGGGCTGGCCTTACCTTTAGGCAGAATGAGGCAGGTGACCATGGCAGTACAAGCTGAGGTAAACTGGAAGAAGAACTGAGACATTAGAGAAAAAAGCTTTATGTTTACCCTACATCTCCCAAACTAATTTACTGGTGGTGGAGAGAGATGTCGTATTTATTAATAATGTTAAAACCAGATTTAACTGCCAGATCTACTCTCCTAGTAGGAGAGAAGCAGGGGAGCACCTGCTTCTGGCTGACAAATATCTCAGGCCATCCCTGAAGGCAAGCTTGGATGTTTGCCTGAGTTTGGAAAATGACTTCTTCAGTGTCATTTTCAGAAAACTCTCCATATATGAGGATTTCCTTTGTGACTCCTTGAAGCATAAAACTTGACAGTTCTTCCATGTTATAATCGTGGTTGCAATGTGCAATGTTTTGAACCACAGCCACAGAATTCAATGACTTCAATTATATTATTATTAGCTAAGTAGTCTGGGCTCACCACTTTGCTAATAAGAGTTGCCGGGAACGTCAGTTTCACAGCTGGATTTAGCCATAGAGGAAGTAGTACAATGTTAACCCAGATGACATTAATTAATTTCCTTTTTAGTGATATTTTGCATTGGAAAAAGAGATTTGTACATGTAAAAAACAGTCCATTATTAATTTCAACAAGTCAGAGGATTGGCTCACTTTGCCATCCTGCTCAAGATCAAGCACAAAGAACAGCGTGTTCAGCTAGAAATGCATCTCCAGGTCTTTCTCAAAGCAGACGTAAGAGTCAGGGCAAAGTGAGATGAGCTTTAGGAAAGGGACAGGACCAGTGTTAGCCTGGAAACGCAGTGACAGAGTGGCAGATGCCAATCTGTAGGACATGGAAAATGGAGGCCAAGGCTGACATAACATTCCTGCTCTCCTCCCACAAGAACAGTTACTGTTTTGGAATACAGCTCCAAGAATCCTGCAGCAAGAGTAGCCAGTAACTGTGCTGCCTGGGGATTCTGAGAATTGTAACCCCCCAAAATACCTCATCCAAACTCTGTCACCAACCCTTTATTAATTCATTGTATCCAATGGATCAGCTGAAGAAGGCTAATGGTTGTGTCAGCTTGGGCTTTTGCTCTTTCCTGCTATGGGATATTGGAAGAGGTCACTCTACAATCCATTTTTGGATGATCTCACACTAAACTCCATTCCTGGAGCGAGTGCCTGCTGTCTTCCTCCTTGACCTGATTCCACTTTGGATTTAATTCCCCCCAAAAATTCTTAGTCCAATTCCTACAAGAATTAAACTGCCTTGACCTTGTTCTTGACACCTGGCCAGCCTGAAGGAAACTGTTTCTTGGCACTGAAAATAGCGAGGAAGCATTTTCACTGTGTTCCCTCAACAATTTTTCCCCCTTGGCCAAAAACAGCCAGAAGGAATTATAGAACATTTTTGAGAGGAGGAAGATGGATAAATTGTGCTCTCTCTTTCTAAAAAGATCTTCATGCTGGTCTTATCAGAATGAAGCTGCAGAAGTTCTGCTGGGTTCTAATATGTGGAGCCAGCATGCTAGCCTGCCTTAATAGTCTGTCCAGGGATATTACATGTGAGCCTGTGTTTGTAGGTCTATATCACATGATTATGGATTCTCCAGAGAGAAGCTGGAAATTAAGCATATAATTTTTGTCTATATAGAATCACAGAGTTAGAAGGGGCCTATAAGACTATCAAGTCCAACCCCCTACTCAATGCAGGAGTCCAAATCAAAGCAGATCTGACAGACAGTTGTCCAAATTTCTCTTGAATGCCTCCAGCATTGGAGTGCTCACCATCTCCTGAGGTAATTGGTTCCATTGTCATATTGTTCTAACAGTTAAGAAGTTTTTCCTGATATTCATCTTAAATTTGGCTTCCTGTTGTTTGAGCCCATTGTTATGTATCCTGCACTCCGGGATGATCAAGAATAGATCATGCCCCAGCTGTGTCCAACTACCTTTTAAATACTTGAAAAGTGCTATCTCTCCTCAGTCTTCTTTTCTGAGGGGAGTTATTTCAGTTTTTCCTCCTAGAGCTTGGTTTCCAATCCCCTGATCATCTTTGTTGCTCTCCTCTGAACCTTGTTCCAATTCATCAACATCCTTTTCAAAATGTGGTGTCCAGATATGGACACAGTAAGCTGGATGAGGCCTAATCAGTGCCGAATAGAGGGGAATTAGTACCTCAGGGGATTTCGAGACTCTACTTCTGTTAATTCATCCAAAACTAGCATTTGCCTTTTTTGCAGCCATATTGCATATGTATTAGGTTGTTTACATCTAGATGCCATGTGCCTATGTTTAGCTGCTGCGGAGTTTTGAATTGTTGGTTAAATTCCTTCAGCTGCAAACCAGAGGTGCAGGAAAGAACACACAGAGAATTTCAGAAACCTCATGGCCAGATTCCATTGTTTGAAATAATTTTTAAAATAACGACTGGAAACTGAATTCAGAAGTGTCATTTGAGATTTCACTTCTGCTGGTGTTGATTGGGATGTCTCTCAGTCCTCTTAGACAAAGAACTGCCAGTCCTTTTTTATATACCAAAAAGAACCTTGTGCTTCAGTATAGGGCAATGTAGGGGAAGGGGTATGATGAAGGACTTTAACCTCTTTGTCTATCAGGATTGGAAGAGACACGCTAATCAACATCAACAGAGGTGAAATCTGAAATGGTTTCCTGGAGGAGATCAATGCCCTCTATCCATTCCAGTCTGGTTTCAGGCCACCTCATGGCATGGAGACGGCATTGGTTGCCTTGCAAGATGACCTTTTGAGGGAGGCTGACAAGGGCAAAATGTCCTTGTTGGTCCTCCTCAAACTATCAATGGCCTTTGATACAATCAACCATGGTATCCTTCTGGGAAGGCTCTCTGCGTTGGGGATCAGAGGTTTGGCTTTGGCCTGGATCCGGTCCTTCCTGGAGGACCTTCCTAAGAAAGTGAAGCTTGGGGAGTTGCCGTCCGCTCCGTGGACTCTCAATTGTGGAGTCCTGCAGGGTTCAAAAATCTCTCCAATGCTATTTAATATCTATGTGAGGCCACTG